ACACCTCTTGGGCTACTTTCTTGTTGGGCGAGCATTCTTTGGATTTGTTGATGTCGGACACCCATTAGGAATAGCGATCATTGCAACATTATAATAAATGTAATGATCTTTTCCCTGCCTCGGTAGTGTACGAGACATTTTTCCTTTCATTATCATGTACAACCACCCCTCTTCCACTTTCCTTTAAATCATATCATTTTATCATAACTTTCCATTCTTATATCGAGGTTGTGCATTATGCTAATACATCATATTACATATCAATTATATCCATATATCTCGTCATGTCAAACATATGTCATATCATAAACATAGTGTGTCTCCTATCATATCATATCATGCACATATCATATTGTATACCGTATCACATCGTCGTATTGTTAATCATACTACATCATAACATATATCATAACATTCACATATCATGACACGAACATGTCGTCAAGCATATCGTATCTTAAAATAATATCGTAAACATATGATTTCATCATATATATCATCTCATTCACATATCATATCGTACATATATCATACATATATCATTTCATAACCGACATCTAACGAGCATATGAAACATGCGAAGCCACGGGTACGTATCATCATACAACATACAATTATAACTAAACCGATAGTAAAACTACTTACTTGGTGGCCTTAGCCGGCGTTTCCCTATATTCAAGTATGTTTGTCTTCCATCTCTCGAAGTTGCTCCTAGTATCACCGAAAGTCGTTTCCTAAATATCATAAGTTATGCATTCATACTAAATATAAAGGGAAAGTATACTGATGCCCGTGCCATAGAAAATGCACGAGGTTTCATAACATTAAAACATGACATACAATCATGACGTTAATCACACCTTCATTCTTTTCCCGACATAACATTTCTATGAGATATACATACTTGATTTTTTTCATATTGCTCATGATTAACAATGCATGGTTTTCTAATGTCTCATAGGCATAGGGCCTACGTACTAACATAGTTTACATGGCGTGGTATATGAAGGTTCATGCATCAAATAACATCAATAACATAGCATAGTTTCGTGACATAGCATAATCATAGCATAATATATCTAATATCATAACATAACTTGTATGCGGCGTAACATATATCATAACATATGCATAACATAGTACAGTCATAAAATTATAAAATCACAAGGCATGCGACGTTCATACAACAAACAAGTCATCTAAGCAAGCCAATAGTAAAGTCATTTACCTGGTTGGCTTAAGCTGAAACCACTACGCTCCTTTGGTGCTAGCTTAAAACCAAGCCAGATCAGCCGAGAAGTCAAGCTAGAGCGGTCAGAAATTGGATTCTCCGGTTGACCCCAAATTTCTCTAGTGGGATGAAATGGTGCAATTGTTGTGATTAAGCCAAGGGACCTCCCTCTTATATTAGAGTTCTAACTCCCCATTTTCTTAATCAAATCAATGTGGGACAATTTATTACTATTATTATTATTATTATTTTTTGGTTGTTACATCATACACATCTAAAAGAAACTTTTGTCCTTAAAGTATCTTAGCTTTTGTAAAGATGTTGGCAAAGCCACTAACATCTTGACAAAGCTATCTCTCTAGTGCGTAGGACCTTTACTTCACGGGTTAGGATTCTTATTGGTCTTTCTTTGTAACTCAAGCCATCATCTATCTGTAAGGGTTCATAGTTTATCACATGTGTCGAGTCTGTTAAGTACTTGCCGAGTATGGGCACATGAAATACGTTATGCACCTTGGAGATAGGTAGTGGTAGGACTAAACTTGCCCTTTAGAATGTTGATAGGTTTGATGAAGAGTGGGCTCAACTTGCCCTTTTTTCTGACCTTGAGGATGCTTTTTAACGATGACATCTTCAAGAATACCTTGTAGCCTACCTCAAACTCCAAGTATCTATGTCTCATGTCGACTTAAGTCTTCTATCTACTCTAAACCTACGCATTTTTGTCTTCATCTTTTGCACCTCATTGATTTCTTGGACTAACTCTGTTCCCAATAGTTCATGTTTTCATACCTTCGGCACACTGGAGACTTCACTGTTTCAATATAAAGTTTCAAACAACATCACAACAATAATTGTCTAATATTTGTGGTTGTAAGCAATTTTCATAAGATGTAACTTGAAATCCCAACTGTTTATGCATTGTTATTGCTAATGATGACATCCTGTAGGGTTTAGACTTTACCCGAAGTAACACGTGTAAGCTTATGAATGCAACAACCCACCACTACAAGAATGATAATGTGCTTTTTTCGCTATCTTAGGTAAACCTAGAAAAAATTCACGACATAACCTTTGAATCTGTTGAACCTTTTGGTACCCCTTAAGATCATTAACGAGTGGTTTGGACATATCCTTTAATAACTCTCCACCTGACCTATCAGCTTGAAGAAGTTAATCAATCTGGGATTCACTCACAATGCATCAGTAATTTAATGTAAAATCCAAATTAAGGACGAGACAAACCGTCTCATGTTCCTTTGGTAAATATGAGGTGGGATGCTAACCTTTTGATATTACCTTAATACACTAGCTAGTCATCTCTTCATAGCATCCTTAAAACTTTACTAAGCTTCATATCTCATCCAACACATCTTTATACTAAAGTTGAGGCCAACCAGTTCCTAAACTTCATAAAACTACTCCCACAATCTCATTGTACCTATGAGTTATGTTTGCGTGAATTGACTAAGTCAAACTCGAAACATTCGAATAAACCTTTTACATCACCAAAGTAAGGAGCTAACAACTTTATGTTCCTAAACAAGTGTAGACCAACTACAAAATATTATTCGTTTAAAATTGTCGACTAGACCACATTCTTTAACATTTGGCGTTCAAGATTTTTTTTTTTTTGTTCGTTCATTCATCTAAGACTCATATTCTAAGAGCTTTGTATAGTGCTCACTATAATATCAAGTTGCTCCTTTTAGACCTTCATTAAACTACTATGTTCGAGATACACACTACTACAAACTAGTCTAAGAACCTTTTCAAAGATCTTGTTCATGAAAATTGTATCGGTTATGGACATTAGTGAGTCAAAAGACCTTACAATCTCTCTTAATATTCATACTGAAACTCCGAGGAAATCTTTGAAACATTGTCCTTAAATTAGTATAACATATAAAATTAAATATTAAATAAGATATATAATTATTTTAAAAATTTTAAATGAGTTATGAGATATAAAATTGAAAAATTTAAATTTTCTAAATTTTAAATTTTAAATTGACCAACTCTGAAGGTAACTTTTAATTTTATTAACTTATCGTAATAAATTTTGTGACAAAAATTGTTACTTCCCTTCTTTAGAAATTAATGATTATTAAAAAAAAAAAAAAAAAAAAAAGGTTCAATAACGGACGCTATCTGGAAGTCAAAACCGCAGTTTATTTATTTATTTTATTTATTTAATAAAAATAATGAGTTTCAATAATACTCTTAAATTTTGTCAAAGTTGTTACCAAATATGGTTGACCGTCAGTCTCTGCAGTCAACATTCATTCATATTGATCTACTTACCAAAGACTACCGCTAGTAGATACTGTTGGATGATGAAAGTCCCACGTCGGTTAATTTAGGGAATGATCATGAGTTTATAATCTAAGAATACACTCTCCATTGGTATGAGGCCTTTTGGGGAGCCCAAAACAAAGCCATGAGAGCTTATGCTCAAAGTGGACAATATCATACCANTAAGGGGAGGCGTGCTTTGTTCGAGGGGAGGTGTTGGATGATGAAAGTCTCACATCGGTTAATTTAGGGAATGATCATGGGTTTATAATCTAAGAATACACTCTTCATTTGTATGAGGCCTTTTGGGGAGCCCAAAACAAAGCCATGAGAGCTTATGCTCAAAGTGGACAATATCATACCATTGTGGAGAGTCGTGTTCGTCTAACATGGTATCAGAGCCATGCCCTAAACTTAGCCGTGTCAATAGATTGGCAAATCCTTAAATGTTGAACAAAAGACTCCAAAAGGAGTCAAGCCTCCTCGAAGGTATGAAGGCAGTCAAAAATGACTAAGACTCCAAAGGAGTCGAGCCTCGATTAAGGGGAGGCGTGCTTTGTTCGAGGGGAGGTGTTGGATGATGAAAGTCTCACATCGGTTAATTTAGGGAATGATCATGGGTTTATAATCTAAGAATACACTCTCCATTGGTATGAGGCCTTTTGGGGAGCCCAAAACAAAGCCATGAGAGCTTATGCTCAAAGTGGACAATATCATACCATTGTGGAGAGTCGTGTTCGTCTAACATGGTATCAGAGCCATGCCCTAAACTTAGCCGTGTCAATAGATTGGCAAATCCTTAAATGTTGAACAAAAGACTCCAAAAGGAGTCAAGCCTCCTCGAAGGTATGAAGGCAGTCAAAAATGACTAAGACTCCAAAGGAGTCGAGCCTCGATTAAGGGGAGGCGTGCTTTGTTCGAGGGGAGGTGTTGGATGATGAAAGTCTCACATCGGTTAATTTAGGGAATGATCATGGGTTTATAATCTAAGAATACACTCTTCATTTGTATGAGGCCTTTTGGGAAGCCCAAAGCAAAGCCATGAAAGCTTATGCTCAAAGTGGACAATATCATACCATTGTGGAGAGTCGTGTTCGTCTAACAGATACTAGCTTCCGCCATCAACACTAATTCATACTCCGTTTGTTAGGAAGAGATTTCCACACTCATCTACTCCCTTGGAGATTTAAAACGCATTTGTTACAGAGAAGTTTCCACACCATTATAAAAAATGTTCGATGTAAGATCTCACAATCCAGACTCTTGAATGCCAGTATCCTCACTGATACACCACTCGGCGTCCGGAACTTGAAAGATATTTTTAAAATATTGGTAAAAAGTTCTAAGGTTATTTATTATTATTATTATTTTGAAAGTTTATGTTTCTATTAAAATTTGTAATAGTTTTTTTTTTTAATAATATATTTGAAACAATTTAACCTTTATCATTTGTTGGAAGGACGTTTTGTTCTGTGCAATCGACGTTTCCCTTCTGCTTCATCCTTACTCAAAGCCCACAAAACAGGAGGAAAAAAAAAAAAAAAAGTACGAACGTCGCTAATCGCCTCCAACCCTTTGCGCCAGATTTGGTGGGGGGCGATCCAGCGGATTCTAGAAGGCTTGCATTTTGTCGACTTAATTCCTTCAAATTGAAACAGTCGCACCCATTGAATCTTTCGCCGTAAGTCTCTTCGGATCTGATCCAACCCCATTAGTCTGTTTTTGTTAATTTCTCTTCGCTTATGAATTTTTAAGTCGTACGTGATAAGGTTTCTTAAATTTTTGAGTTGGGTGTAGATCTGTGATGCTTAGTTCTTCATATTTTGTTATGGGTATTGCTAGATCGAAGGCTTTATTTAGTTTTTACTTCTAAATTTTGTTAATCTTGATGAAGATAATGCCTCGGTTGAGCTTTGAATCGTTTGGCTGTTTTGCTAGTCGCCGTGCAATCCGAGATCAGTCAACCATATGGATAAGTTGTGCTTAGATAGGAAAATTGGGATTGAGTGAGTTCTTGAAAGTGTTTTTAAGAGCTCTGTTTATGTAATCTGTGGAAGACTTGTAGTAGAATGATAATTTGTTCTTCAGATCTGCTGCCAGCCCTCGTCTTCTGAGCTGAGCCCCAATTTCATGCCCCAGCTCACGAATCTGGGGCATTCCTTCTTCAAATCCCATAGTTCTTTCCTTGTTCTTTTGGACATTCTTCTTCAGACGCCAAATTTTTTAAGTCATGTCTCAGAGGCAAGAACTTACTCCCTCCTATATCTATCAGTCACGTTTCAAAGCTTCCCCAATCTCCATTTCTAGCTTGTGCTCTGTTTTTTGTTTGATTTTGTTTTTCACTTGTACCAAAACTCGCTTGGATATGCGTAAGGCCTTTGTAACATCATTGATTCGCAACATTTGAAACACAAAAAACAGTAGGGAATGAGAGTAATAGATATTATGTAAGACATTATTCACTCAATTGAAACTAAAAATCAAAGAAAAAAGAGGGTGTATTTGCTTTCTTTGCTGATCAATAATTAGTTCATGTTCGAGACTGGCCTCTAAGTCGGGTCGTTAGTTTGATCGTCATAAAGAGAAACATTGGTAAAACCAGACTTGAGTTCTTTGAGTTATATTTGTGTGCATTTAGATTTTTATGTGCTGTAATCCAGTTTATGCATAGTATTGTCACTATCATCTTGTCTTATTATCTCTTATTTTGATATAAGGTGGAAGATGTTTATGATTATATTAATTGAAACAAACAGGTTTTGTATGATTGGTGGAGTTCTAACTTGTACGAGATATTTGTTTATAGTTTTAAATTTGTGAAAATTGAAGTGAATGAGGGTCAACCCTCAAAGTAATATTCTGCTAGTTTTTTGTGTATTGGAAACAAAGCCAACGACCCAACCGAACCTGCAAATATAGATTGTTTGGGCTAGGTTATAAAAAAATCAATCGAACCTAATCTAACCCACGAACATCCTTTTAAGTGTATGGTTCAAGAACTCACCGGTGTTAGGGAGAGATTTCATCCGTTGCTTTCTTAGGATCTCTCATATATGTGCGTAAGTTCATAATTTCAGGTTATTGACAAAGATTTAGCGGTGAAAATAACTTCTACACTTTCCGATTAATCTATGTTTGGAAATGCAGTGGCAGTTCCTGCCAATAGTCCCCATTTAAGAAAGTCTGGAAGCAGACCTGTAGTATCTGATTTGGGTATGCCTCTTTCAATTCCTTTCGGTTTGTTTCTTACGATTCTTGTCAGTCATTTCTTTTGTAGGGTCTAATCCATCAGTGACACTTTCTTTCTGCAGAATATTTGTCTGGCACTGATGCAGGAAATGGTGTGGACGAAACTCCCTTGCATTCAAGGGAGGCAGATGATTTGAAGAGTACCATATTAACAATGAATCCTACAGCCATAGTTCCATCTCCTATTTTGTTATGGAGATTCAAGGTTTGAGCCTTTTCTGCCTTCTTTATTCATGCATAATAGTTATATTATTTTTCTAACAAAAAAGAGTACTACATTAAGCTTCTTATGCTATGTTCTCATAAGAATTTCTCCTTTTGAAGAGAACTTAGTTTTAGATGCCATAGTTAAAAATATACCCACAATGTCTGGATTATGATCTTGGATGCAGTGGGAAACAACAAATTGGTTTCGAATAATGGTGCCAATTTCCAAGTCATCCATTTTTAGATATTGATCAATATTTTCGTGAATTCTACTAATCTATTCTATGATTCATTAAAGAGTGGCTAAGGAAGAACTTAATGTTTTTCTTTAAGTCCTTAATAGACTAATCTGTTATAATTAAGTGTGTATAGGACATTCATCTCCATTGTTTGGTGCTTAACGTGCCTGTTATCTTCCTTAAGGTTGAAAGGTTTCAACCCGACCATCACATTTGTGGGCTCAAAAATTAAAAATAAAAAAAAATAAAAAAAATCCATTATCTGGGGGATCTGCTCAATAACCCCCAGGACTTCCAATATATATATATATATTGAAGTAAATTATTTTTTATATAAAATTTTAGAAGAATAAAGAGAGTTTTCTAAGAGACTGAAGAGAGGTAGAGAGGAGAGTTTCAATGGATAGGGGAAGGAAAAAGGGAAAACTACTTGAGGATGAAGACAAAATTTGAAGATAGGACATACGATGACACATTGTTTCGTATCAATAATAGTCCTTTTTAATAAAAATATTTATTAAAAAATGGGATTAAATTTGTTAATATGAGCATAGAAGTTTGAACGTTGAATAAGAAATGTGCTTTCCTTGATCTTCTTTTGTTGCTCTTTTAGTTATTTTCAATACCTTTCTGTTTAGAATACTAATTGAGATTAATGTCCAGGTTTTCTTGTTCATCCTCTGGGGTTTATTTTGTTGCAAGGTTAGTTCTATTAGATCATTTATAGTTCTATTAGATGAGTTGATTTGATGCACTGACATGGTATTGTTGGAATACAGATTGGCTGGGATTCTGTTATGAGAATGAGTGTAGACTTGCGAGACCTATTTCTCTACGAGGCATTTCTGTATTATAATCCTCTTCTTTTGGTGGTGAGTGAATTTCTCCTTTATAAATTCCTTTTAATTATGTTTTTGACTATTATCATCGTTTTATCTTTATGCTTACCGACCGTTTAGTTTTGGCACTGCAGACTATGATGGTTTGGTTCTGGGGAATTAACTTATGGGTTTTTTCCCAATCGAACGTTAATCATGCAAAAATATTTGAACTTGATCAGAATCATCTTACACACCGAGAAATTTGGAAGGTAAAAAGTCTTTATTATGCATTTTCTTGACCAATCGAAATCATTCTCGAAGCTGTTATATATTTTTCCATATTATAATCTGCTATTTATACACTGTGTACTAAATTGCTTTTGCAGTGTGCCACATGGATGACTATTGTTGTCCCCACGAGCATGACAGCGTACCTCTATCTTTATTCTCATGGGGAAGTATCACTAGCTGCATCACAACCAGTGTAATAGACGCCCCCTCTTTTATTAGTAATTAATGAATATTATAATTTTTTGGAAATGCAATTAAGTTCTTTGTTTCCTTGGAAACGTTAGAATTGGCCTTTTGCAAGTTCTGTTGTTTGATGGTTTGTTGCTTGCCAAAGTTATATATAATTATGACATGGTTAACATACTAACTTAGATAAGATACTCACTTTGATATGGTTTCATAATGGTTGCCACTTTGTGTCTCCCTAGTCTGTGATGAATTTGAGCTTCTTCTGGTAATGTGATTGTTGCATGTAAATATTCATCATGCTTAGCCCCATGAATACTTCTTCATAGAGTGGGGCATTAGCACACTTTAGATTATCATTTGTATCTTGTTTTTGCCTTTACTATGTGTAGATTTCATATTACTATCTTTTTATGGTTACTTATCTGGAGATGAAATGTCATTAAGTTTATTTACCTTTCATTGCAGGTTCTCTTATATGTCGCTGTTGTGATGATTTTGGTTTTCCCTTTTGAAATATTTTACTTGTCATCTCGATATTTCTTATTAAGGACTCTTTGGCGAATAGTTTTCCCGTTGCAGGTAAGTTTTTTTGATCAAGTATGTTAAAAATGAAAGTTGGTGTTTAATGTTAGGAAAAGCTGACAGTATACAAATTTTTTACGCAAATAAATGCCTGTAAAATATGTTTCATCGGTTCAAGATGTTTGTGTTGTTGAAATGAATTTACTATCTTCCATAATTTTATGCTCCAAGTAACTATCACATGTATTCTTGTCTAAAATTGTTCCATGATCTTAAACATTTTTATATTATTTATGTTTTATTTTAAATGATTCAATAGTGCATAACAACTAACTAGTATTCATGATTGTCAAGGACTTGAATAATAATGTTTTCGCATGGCTACATATTAGTGGCAAAACCTATGGATATATTGAAAAATTTGATCCTTCAACCTTACAATGGTAATATGGAATGTTTTCTTTTTCTATGTATATATTATATGTACATGCATGTATGTATATCTGGGGTTGTTATGTTTTTGGCACACAGGGTTGCTGATGTCTGGTGCAGATTGGTATTTCTTTCATTTTTTTTTTCAATGAGAAACCGAAATTTTATTGACAACTATGAAAGAATTTGAAGGGGAATGAAAAGAAAAACAGCCAAACAAAGGAACTGAACCAAAATCAGCTGTTCGGCGAAATGAATATTATTGACAGTTATAAAGAAATGAATTCACACATCTTTGCTTCGTTCGATCATTATAAGATTTCATAATGTTGTTTTTTAGTTTCAGCTCAGCCTTGTGGATTTCATAATGTTGTTTTACTCTTATAGTACATGAATTGTTGGATTTAGTCTGCTATGGCTGGCTGTCAATTCGTTAATATTTGTTCAATGCAGGCAATTACATTTGCTGACTTTTTCGTAGCTGATATACTGACGTCGATGTCAAAGGTTTGTATCCTGCTGCTCTTTTAATCAACAATTTCCAAGATCCGTTGTCAGCTTATTTTAGTGGTAGTACCACAGAGGCGGCTTAACACAAATATATTTCTCTGCGCTTGTGTATAAGACCTATTTATCCAAAATGAGAATGAGCATCTATCCGTTGTCTTGAATCATAGCCTAAGGTGTAAATGTCAAACGTACCTACTAGCCCTAATAATTTCCTGCTTCATCTTTTTGGGAATTCATAATTAGAAACTGTTTTCTGAATCATTTTTGCTTACAAACGTATTATTCTGTTATAATTACATGACATGGTTATAACACTGATTTGGCTGCAGGTGTTTTCCGATTTGGAAAGATCAGTGTGTCGAATGATTCACCGACAGGTTGGTTTTCTTAAGGTTAAATATTATTTTTAGTGGATTGCAATCGTCTTTTCCATTGATCAGCTCTTAGTTGTTAGTTTTTAGCATTTTTTTTTTCTTCTTCAAAATGTTGAATTGTTGATAACATGTTCCAAGTAGTGACACTCTTTCTTTGTATGTTTGTATTTATTAAACTTATTCAGGTTGCCACCATTGCATGGTTTGAAGCTGATTCCGTCTGTGGAAGTCACTCTGTTGCAATCCCCGTGGTTCTTGTTTTGCCTTATCTTTTTCGTTTGTTCCAATGTCTCCGACAATACAAGGATACAGGAGAAAAAGCAACACTTTTGAATGGTGAGTTCTTATGGTTCTTGTTCCCTGTCTCTATCAAAATTGGTAAAGTCTTAATTAGTTTTCGCAAAACCCTGGGATAGAGTGAGGAAACAACCTAAATCAAGAAGAGAATGACTATGGTAAAGTCGTGTGAAAGCGAGTCCTTGAAGGAGCGTAAGCTGTAACATATCACAAAAGCCTTTTGTGTTTCTGTTTACAATAAAAGAATCTTTGATTTCTTTCATAAACAATTTCATCGGATTGATTGGTTTGAATCATCTAGGCTCAACGTTTCTCTTTATCCCTTCCTTGGATTTTCTTTATAAGATGTTAGTTTGAATTGAAGGATATCTAAAATGATATCCTGTTTTTTCCCCTTTTGTTTTGTTTCAAGGATACTCTTGTGTTTATTCTGTTCGTATGTTATATCTATAATCCTTGCTTTATAATTGTTGTTGTCTTGATGCTATAATAGTAACTCTAATCTGGTCATCGTTACAGCTCTAAAATATTCAACAGCAGTACCGGTCATTTTTCTTTCTGCCCTTAAATACCATGTCTTCCCTGATAGATGGACCAACTTTTATCGGCCCCTTTGGCTGCTGTCTAGTGTTCTAAACTCTTCATACTCATTTTACTGGGATGTCAAACGAGATTGGGACTTGAGGTATGCTAGTTTTATATATATTATTCGTTTTTTCTTACAGAAAAACAGAAAAGAAAAATAATGGTATTTATTCAAAGAGGAGTACAAAAACGGTGGAAGACGATCACCTCCCTCGTTTTTTGTCTTACATAATTTTTCATGGAGCAAGTATTCATTCTATGTTTACTTTTCTCCTGTCATTGGGTGTCTGGTTGAAAATGGTCAGGATGGATGGGGGAAACTTTGCATTGTTATAATCCATGTTGAAAATGCACAATCATGTAGATGCAGGATTGCATGAGCATAAATTAGTTGAAGTAGTTCATTTTACTTCTTCAAGTGTCTGGAGAAATTGTAGCTTGCCGTGGTCTTATGATTTGTTGACATATGGTTTTATTTATCTAATGACAGCACTTTCACTCGGATTTTCAAGTTCAACCGACCGCACTTCTTCTCGCATCTCTTGTATGGGCGGAAATGGGTAATGTTCTTGATTCATAGACTTGAATTGTTTCAACAAGTTAGTCACAATATTCTATCCAGTTGGTTTTCTAATGAAATCAAATCCTTGTTGATTTAACATGAGAATAAATGGCTGCATAAACCCGTACTTGGAAACTCGGTATTTCTCGACTTCAGAGCTCTATGTTAATGACTTTCATTGTTGGTCACTTGGCTAAGGAATTATTCAGATGTCTTTCCAGTCTACTTTCTAGCTTTGTTTCCTAGTTTTAGGCTTTTTAATGACTTTGAATGTGAGATCTTTGGTAGATTTTTAAAACTAGAAAGAAAAGGTCATTTTAGAACCCATGAATTCTCTACAACGAACCGTGCACCTTACACCATTCTTTTCAGTATCCCTGTTCACATATTTGGTCCCTTACTGTTGTATTTTTATAGTTTGTTTCACTAGTTCTTCGAACCTCTGTCTGTACTCTGCACTCTTTTTTCACCCATACAATTGTGTGATTCTATGTCGGTTGGGAAGGAGAACGAAGCATTATTTATAAGGGTGTGGAAACCTCTCCCTAGTAGACACATTTAAATTTTTTTTTTTTTTTTTTAGAGGAAATCCAAAAGGGAAAGCCCAAAGAGACAATATTTATTAGTGGTGGGCTTGGACTATTACAAATGGTATCAGAGCTAGACAATGGGCGATGTGCCTGTGAGAAGGTGTGCTAGCAAGGATGCTAGTCCCCGAAGGGGAGTGGATTGGGGGTCCTACATCGATTGGAGAAGGGAACGAGTGCCAGCGACAACGTTGGACCTCGAAGGAGGGTGGATTGTGAGATCCAACATCAATTGGGGAGGTTTATAAGGGTGTGAAAACCTCTTCCTAGTGGACGCGTTTTAGAAACCGTAAGGGGAAGTCTGAAAGGAAAAGCTTAAAGAGGTCAATATCTGCTAATAGTGGGCCTATTTTCGATTTTTTGCATTTTGTTTCTAGATATTATGAACAGCAAGTGATTATCAAAAATCTTTTGGTACAGCCAATGGAAGGATCATACTAATCTATGGTTTTTCAGGTTTACATCTGGGTGCTGGGAAGTAATCTGATATTACGGTGTACATGGACGTATAAGTTATCGGCTCATCTTCGCCACAATTACCTTACGGTATTCACTATCACGGCGTTAGAGATCTTCCGAAGATTCCAGTGGATTTTCTTCCGAGTTGAAAATGAATGGAACAAGATGAACTCGAAGACGAACATACAAATTACGTCGAATCTCCCAACCGAAGAAGACAAGTTACTTAACTCCAGTAACCATAATGTTTAAAATTGTTGAGTGGCAATTGATTTTTGCATTATTGGGGCATATGGTAGGTATGGTATTATGTGGATGAATGCCATTTGTTTTGTCTTGTTTAGTTTTGAATAATTGTTGTCATTAATCTATGAGAAGGGTCTCTTTGCCATCACAGATGGATTAGCCTTTTAATGTCTTAATGGCACCTTTATGGATACCCCTTATCCCTCATTTAGTTTATTTGAGAATGTCTTGATTTCTTTTTTGGCCCTATTTTCTCCTAACCATATATGGACTAGTGGTTGATATAGGTCATGAGTATAGTACTCCAAGACTACTTAGATGCCTTGGAGTCTTTGGGGCATCTAAGCGGTTTATTCTACTCCGAGATGCTTGAGATTAACCCCTTATGCTAGTATGAACTCTAGGTGCTTTCATGCCTAGAACTATGATCAACGCCAACGATCCTAGATTGCTTGGTCTACTGAAAGCATTCTAACTTCGGTTAATGTGTAAACCGCCCTTGCTTTGGTGCCCTCATCTTAGCTTAGTTCATTTGTACATGCTTTAATAGGGAGATATTTCTATAGATCACCTAAAGCACAAAGAACATATACTAAAACATTTAAGCAAATAAGCTCACCGGAGATGTAACATTTATCACACATGACAATAGCCCTCTTTCGTTAGCTCATGAGAGTTGTAACATTCATCAATTGTATCCATTACACATCACAATAGCCATCCTCCTTTAGCTCTTCAGAGATGTAACACCCTCCTTTCTAACACTTTTGATCAAATTTGACGTTTGAATTTAAAACTTACGAACGATATCAAAACTCTAAAAAAATTAGAGCTCTAGTGGAATGAACAAACGATATCGAGTCAAGAGCATCTTCATTCCTATATCATATAAAATGGTGGGTATAAGAATCCACAATTAGATCATGTCCTTCATGTCGCATGTTGCTTTCTACCACTTCGTTTACTTTCTATCACATCGTTTTAAACGAAGATTACCATAACCTCTAATTTCGTGCCACTGGTACAACGGAAAACATATTAAACAACTTTTATCACAAATCTCATTGTAGGGATATTTTGATAATTATTTACATCATACATAGTTTTCTCATCTATATAGCTCAACTCACATTCTCTTTCAAGTTTTTGCATAAAATATCAAACACGATGCTAAAAAATTTGAACCTAAGGACATAACGGTAATTTTAATAATATTCTTCCCAAAATACCATTTCAAAATCCTAAACATGCATTTTCTAACCATCTAAGGTAAGGAATGCTCGCATGCTTGCTCGTTCTAATGATCCCTACAAGTATTACTTGCCTAAAGTTCATATGGCTACTTAGGTGATGTGTGTCTTCCTGAGCTAGTTTTTCAACAGGTTAGGATCTCCAAAATTTCTGAAATTTATCTGGTAGGTACTAAATCAAGCAAAATTACGGTTAATATCAAAATCGAATTGAACAACAGTCAAACAGAAGTCGAACGGGTCAAAAAGGAGGAACTCACGTGCATTCGTGTTATACGTACGTCTCACCTAAGGGGAGGAGAGGTATGCTTCCTATGCAGCACATAGGCATGTGGATAGGAGTTCCTAGTCAGGTTGGACACGTGTCGTTGCGGAGCGAGTCTTGGATTCGAATCGTAGGTCAGTCCGTGGATGTGGCCCGCGACACATGGACCATCTACTTGCCGAACGTGTCTCCATCCACTCCCCGACAAATGTACTCCAATCGTCCAACCGCATTCATCTGTTCATCTGCCGACACGTGTCTCCACCATCTTTCATTGCAGGTTCGCGTGTAATATGATATATTTCTAGATTTTGATCGGTTTTTTATTTTTTTATTATCTTTTTAAATTTTCATAACTTTCTTCATATAACTCGAATCAACTTGGTCAACTTGGTTCCTTCACTAAAGTTGTATAGTTTCGGTCCATCTTTACCAAATTACTTTTCTTGTAATTTATAATCAAACAAGAAGAAATAAATAGTCCAAAGTTGGCAAAAAAAAAAAAAAAAAAAAAAAAAAAAAAAAAAAAAAAAAAAAAAAAAAAAAAAAAAAAAAAAAAAAAAAAAAAAAAAAAAAAAAAAAAAAAAAAAATATATATATATATATATATATATATATATATGACGGTAGAAATTGAAGGATGGGAGGAAAGAGAGACAAAAAATGTCAACTCCAACGTCATTTTCTAAAAATCAGTATTTGGGTTTGTAACATTCTAGGCATCTACAATGGATGTAGTTACAAATGTGTCCAATTCTATAAGATCTGTTAGACGAACACGACTCTCCACAATGGTATGATATTGTCCACTTTGAGCATAAGCTCTCATGGCTTTGCTTTGGGCTTCCCAAAAGGCCTCGTACCAATGGAGTTAGTATTCCTCACTTATAAACCCATGATCATTCCCTAAATTAGCCGATGTGGGACTTTCATCATCCAACACCTCCCTTCGAACAAAGCACGCCTCCCCTTAATCGAGGCTCGACTCCTTTGGAGTCTTAGTCATTTTTGACTGCCTTCGTACCTTCGAGGAGGCTTGACTCCTTTTGGAGTCCTTTGTTAGACATTTAAGGATTTGCCAATCTATTGGCACGACTAAGTTTAGGGCATGGCTCTGATACCATGTTAGACGAACACGACTCTCCACAATGGTATGATATTGTCCACTTTGAGCATAAGCTCTCATGGCTTTGCTTTGGGCTTCCCAAAAGGCCTCGTACCAATGGAGTTAGTATTCCTCACTTATAAACCCATGATCATTCCCTAAATTAGCCGATGTGGGACTTTCATCATCCAACAAGATCGAACGTTATTGATAGACTCGATTCATGCATTTAATGTATGATATTTAGTAGGGACATTATGAAGTGATGGTGTTAATATAATACATGCCGAAGCAACTTGAATCTTAGACACTTTTAAAACATTAATTATAGTAAATAACTAACATGTTCATAAGTATTAAAACTTAATGAATTTGAATACTAACCTTTTGTAGTTCAAATTCCTTTTTCCTCCTGAACCGGTTTCGAACTACCACTAGTGTCTTCTCCACTATCCTCCGGCCTTAGAACGGGATTGTGGAATCCGGTGAGTGACTAAACTTGAGAGGGATTTAGTATATACGAAGAGAGAGCTTGTGAGAATTTTCTCAAGGTCTTTCACCAACAAGAACCACCTTCCATGTACCATGATCACTCTATTTATAGAGTCATGTTTGCATGTTCATGCAAATTTGAGACCACCAAATTTTGACACTTAAAATTCCATTCAAATGTTTGGGATTATGTGGCAAGCATGAATGCTTGAGTTAACCAAATTTTGACACCTCAAAATTCCACTGACATGGATTTTTTCATTAAATGAAGTCAACATTTAGACTTTCTTCATTTTGATTCAACCATTAATTTGAATTAATATTAAATGATTAATAACTAACTAATCATTTAATATTAATTCAAATGCCAATAATTAATTTATTTGATTAAGATATTAAATCTTATTTAAATATCTCAGATTCTCTTTTTTTGTTTAATTCGTAAATAAAACAAAAATGCGGTTAAATATATCGTATATATGTAGCGCATTCTCCCTAATTTGAATTTGAACACTTCGAACTCACTCGTCACACTGTTCTATGGTTTAGTCTGATATGAGCTAGCAGAGGGACCTAATGGACATATAGATCATGGGCTCCAACGATCCAAGATTAACCGGTTAAACTCATTAACCTTGTTAACCAGCATTCGTTAACTACTAGGACATTCCACTATAGCCTAGTAGTTGCACTCCCCTCACTATAGATATATTTTTGTCCATTTGATATAACCATGATTAGTAAGTCGATCCTTCACAGGTTGTTCGTAACTAGAGCTGGGTAAATTTACCGTTTTACCCCTAAAGTTACTTCTTGTTTCTTATGTCTCACTGATCCTCTAATGAACAATTGGTTTGTGGTCCAACTAGTAAACCGGATCCCTCTCAGGCCAATGAGAGGGTGGGACCCCTTATTCAAGACCTGGAGTCAGTACTTAAGAAAACTACCTCTCTTCTATCACTAAAAGTGGGTAAGAGTGAATTCCATCTTGCACCCCACGTCCCCAGCCATTTACCTAGTCTTACCCTTGAAATAGGAGGCCTATTGAGTCGGTGAACTTGAGCCACTCTCACCCATGCAAATCTAAGGATAATTCCGAATAAACAGGAGTTCATGGTTAGCTTAGGATTAAAATCGAGTTACCTAGGTTATCGAATGAAAAGAAAATCAGTCTCAACAGTAAACGACATTATAAAGTGAGAGTGATTTTCTTCATGGTCCGATCTTATGCAATACTCATTGCATAGGACGCCCCCACTCACATGTCTCCACATGTACAATTTTAGTGATCACATTGTTTATATCATATACAAAAGTGGGCTGCATCCATAGTGTCCACAAAATAAGGTACTCAGCCTTATTCTTATACTATAGATCATTTTGACTATATACTTGAACTTGATCCACTCTTATGTCTCTACATATAATTCAAGTAATCATATTATAGTCAGAGTGTTCTTAGTTTATTGGATTTAGATTAATGATCGTAAAGTTCACTTTATTCAATAACAATCTTTACTGAATAAACAACAATAATAACTTTATTGAAAATAGAATATGTTTTTATTTACAAACTATGAGTTTTAGGACATAAAACCCAACATGAAGTACGAGATAAAGAGGTGAATTTGAGGATGACTCAATAATTAAAACATATGAACTTAGATCAAGATGTTAAATGTTCGTATCTCTCCTCTCTACTTATCAACTAAAAAATGATGATGTTTGTCAATTTGATCATAACTCACATGACTATGCTATTTGAACTTGATTAAAAGATTAGATGTTTAAATCTTTCCCCTCTACTTGCTAATCAACTAAAAAATAGATTATGATGTCATTTTGAGCATACTCAACCGATTATGATATATGAACTTGAGTATGAGGTTAAATATTTGAATCTTCAACATCTACTTAGCTATAACTAAAAAAAGAGAATGTGAGGCCTATGATAAAGAAGTTAGTATTGTGATGTCAATTTGAGCATAATTCAACCAACCGATCAAATGTTTAAATCTCTCATTCTTACTTGCTAATCATCTAAAAAAGATTATGA